TTACAATTTGAAGCACATGTTTTAATAGAATATTATATTTAAGTTGTGAAAAGGAAAAATAAAGTAATAATATACAGTAATAATAAATGTACAAGACAAAAACAAAAAGGTACAGTATGTTTGTAATTTAGGACAACTGATTTTATATAAATAAATTTTTAGGGTGATGGTGGGTGGGTAAATTGAATTCTTGTTAAAATTTAGGTGCGTCCAGCAGCTCTTAAAACAAAAAAGTGAATAACTGAGATACCTTTGACCAAGATAAGATTTCAGTATAGGTTACTTCAATCTGATTGGCTAATTAGCTAATTGGATTAATCAAGATGGCTATTGCATACACAGTGTCCCTGCCATGCCAGGTTGCAAATTCCATCTGTTGACGTGTAATTATTCACCAGATGCCAACAATAAATGATGCCCCCCACCTACATGTCTGGTGGCTAATCTAAAGACCTTGATCATTTATGTTATCAATGATGAGTATATAATTATAACAACAGTATCTTATCACAAAATTTACCGCCAAAATGTTTTTATTTACATAAAATAGGTTTTTTGTCACCCAAATTTTTCCAATAACTTGAAAACTTTAAATTTCATTCCATATTATGTTTCCATAAAATACCATTCATTTGTCAACATGAAACAACCAGTTATGTTCTCCAGTGAGTCTGAGTTCATTTGCAATGAAAGACAAAACAACTTCTGTTTGTGAGAAAGGTCATTTATTCAATTTATCATAAAATATATTTGATCAAATGATGAAATTAATGTCAAACATTGATTAACCAAAAATAATTGAAAAATGACAATAAATTTGCAAAGGTGGGGTTAAAAAACCGCCAAGACCACAATAATTTTTTTCGTCTTTATGTTTTATCACATTACAGTTATGATAAGGATAATAATCTTACTGACAGAATATAACAATCCATATTCATTTTACAATCCACTAAAATATTTTGAATTTTTCCTAGCGATATTTAATTATTCTTATAATCCTTACATATATTTCTTTTTTCCACTCATTGTTTCATGCAAGAAATTTTATTTATATACATTTTATTACATATGCAATAACACCTTTAAATGTTTAATGCATTTCTTTCATTTTATCTATATAAATTTTATAAATGCTATTATACGCGAGAATGAAATTTTACCAACAACTTTATATTAATTTATATATAGAGCAACGACTACAATTCGTGAAAATTTTGTCCCGTTTATAAAGATTTAATGACTATCTCGCGAAAATAAGATGTTGCGAAAATTAAGTGATCTACAGTATTTTATGCCCTCGGATCGAAAGATGTTTTCTGTCTGTGTGGACCACCTTTTTGTTTTGATTTTTTATTAAGCTGTGTGTGTAGATTCTAAAAATATACTTAACAAAAAATCCTCAATACTTTTGATAACAGGAACCAACCTCCTTAAGATAGTTTTGTACATTTACTGCAGTGATGAATCTTATAATTGTCATAAGTCATATCTTAAGATGATCTATCTTAGGACAAATCTTTCGATAGTTTTGTCAAACCCAGCCCTGGTCGTCTATTGAAATCAGATCACTTTAGCATTTTCCTTTCCAATTCAAGTTTTTATTTACAGAAAGTGAGTTCAGAGGTAATTGTGAATCATCACTCACAATTTCTGTCCATCTGGGAAAAGACACGGCATTATAAAAATAAGGAAAGGTCGTTTAAAGTGCAGTTTGTTATAAATATTAATAAAAGAGGTTTGATCCTGAACTTTTGAGCGTATTTGTGACTGGATCTTTATTTCAAAATTGTGCATTTTATTCAATATATTCTTTATCAAATCTGGATTCTGCATGTAGAATGCAAAGTAAACTATTTTCAATTTAAAATAATCGCGATTAAATTCCATACAAATAGGATTAAACCAGGATCTATATTTTTCGGCGGAAGTTTTTTAAAGAAATACATGTAAGTTTTTCCTACCCCTTTTTTGAAGTATTTATAGTGCACTATGTACTGCTAAGTAAGCTCAGATCCCTACTTTTCCATGCTGGTTGCATGTACAGTGCATTTTGTGACGTGAAATGGTTTATGCTGGTTCTGAAATATTTATCAATTAATTTTGAATTCTGTCATTATATTATGACAAATATACTATCTTGAAGTCCAGCGCGCCTTTTCCCCGTCTTCTTATCACTTATAGAATTATATTTATTCTCCTCTTAAATGCAATTTTAATAAAGTTTGTTATAGTATGTTTATGTTAATGATATAATTTATCTAATTCCTCGGTCTATAATAAAGAACAACTGAATACAGAGGAAAAGATTGTTTCATATTGCCTTACAACCTTTATCAACATCCACGTTTTACGCATTATATTCTGTCAAAGTGCCCAGCTTTTCTTTATATGTATCACATCGTCTGGTAAAATTTTCGACAGTAATCATAACTTTCATAAATTTCGGCATCAAGTAGATGTCTGGGGCCGGGTATCTCAAAGCTTTCAAGATTTTAAAGTAGTTGATTTCAGGGTTTGTTCTTTACTATATGCACATGTATTTTAACACCACCAATATGACGAGCCCAACAGGAATGAGAAGATGAACACGAACAATGATTTTATACCAGGAAGTTCTTGTCTAGGAACAGCAGAATTTTGTTTAATATAAACAGTTTGGAAGCAACGGTCAAAGAATATTTGTAAGAGATACCGGGAAGAATCAACAGGAAGAAATATGGTGGAATGCAAACCTGGACTTCTTTCTGAGAAGTCACTTCCAGCTAGATTCTATGGTCGATTCGAAGACTTTGTTTGCAAATACAATTTACAATGTTGACAAAAAATTGTTAATCCATTATACCGGTATTCTCACCGAATAGCCTATGTTTTTATTTTTTGTTTACCCAAACATGACGAGTTGCACAGAATGAGGAAGATTTTTTTTAATTTCATGAATACATACAAAGATTTAATTCAGAACAACCTCAGTTGCATCTATTTATTTACTCAAATACAAATACCATTAGGCCATGTTTAAAAATAAAAAAAAAGTTACCCTTTTCTTGCTAACTCAAAAATGGTCCGACTCAAAGTCTCTTCATGTTTTGTTTTGTTTTACATTCCAGGACACGAATTTTTTCTTCTCCTTAAGTACTCCTCTTATCCCGTCAACAAATACGTTGAAATTCTCTATAAAAAAGATTTCCCTACCTAATCACCTACACCTACCGACCAATAATTTTACCCTGAATCCGGAAAGGGCAAGCAGACATTATTCTAAAGATGACCTTAGCTTGTATATTAATATGTCATTCAAATTCTTTTAAATACTTTTATCTGATAAATTAATAATCCATTTCAAAACTATAATGTCGAGAAGCATTCACTTTGGCATAAATTCACGCGTTCTTAATTTAACACTCAATTGCAATCATTTCAATTAATTGCAGATTAGAGTGTAATATGGCGCTCCATACTGTTGTTTTTGTGTCGAACTGAAGAGACACGTTACAGTAAGTAATAATTATGCTATTAAAACCGACCATTATAAATGAAAATATTTTCCTGACTAATTATTACATTTTTCTTACAGAAAACTACTAATAAAAATTACCGTATTAATTAAAGCTTGAATTATATGATGCATGTATGCACAGCTGACAAACCTTTTGTTTAGTTTTTACTGGTGTACTTTCGATTTAAGATTTAAAACAGCAAATATTGATTCAAAACTTTTACTCGTTTAGAGATCCCCCAAATGAACACTTAGAATAAAATACCAAAGCACCGTATTTTTGATCAGCTAAATATGGGGGGAAAGGTAAGGCAGAAAAAAATTAAGATATGGCAGCAAATTCGTGTAAAAATTTGTGTCGTCACTGCAAACCCGTCAGTTTTGAACTGTGGGGATTTCTATCTGTTTCGAAAGGTACATCCATATTATCAGTCAGCTATGAGGTAATAAATCATATAATTAATAAACACAAAAAGGTTTCAGATTCATTAGATATAATTCCGAGTCTATAAAAATATAAAGGCTAAAACCCCTTTTTGGTGCCTGATTTTGAGTGTCTTTAAGACTAATGCAACAGTTTATCAAGAAAGACCTGTAGTAGTCCCTGCCACAAAATAAGTATTGGCTCTTCAATTACTCAAAGAGGTCAGAAAATATGGCAATTTTCGAATTCTCTCATTTTTATGCAAATTTTCAACGATTTTAAAGTACATTTAGTTGTAAAACATAGAGCACAAGCTTGTCTATTTACCATATTTATATATTTTATAAACTAGTATCAACCGCAGTTTATTTGTAAAAGTCTTAGATAGGCTCTTGTGCTCTATGTTTTCTGAAGAGAAAAGTATCTCAAAAATGATGGCATTCAACCACAGAAAATTCTGCACCCTCCAGTGGCTTCTGTGTAAGTTTTGAATCCAAATTAGTGCTGATTTTAAAGCAAGCATCAGTTTAAGTTCTTTACTACAAACAATTGCAATTTTTCCAGTGTTCTGGCCCCAAGACCATAACCTGAGAACTTAAGTCAAAATTTTGATTTTTAATATCCTGAATTCTTTGCAACATATGTGCATAAAAATTTGCAGTTTTTGGGTAATACTAGCATATTTGGAAAATTTTATTTCATAATCAAAATGATTTAAAAAATAATAAAGATATAAAATCTTCATATTGATTCTGTTCTCAGTTTACATCAAATGAGGATCTAGATATAGATTTGACTGTTACCCTAACTTTTCCTTTCTGATAGCACTTTTCATATATGACTTGGAAAAAAAATTCATGAATAGATAAATTTATCTGCTCAGACAGAAGAGAGAGAGAGAGAGAAAAAAAAAACTAATAGCTGACGTTGAATTGAAATAATTTTTTTAAAATTATTTTTCTTTATCAAATTTGTATTTTTAGATATTATTTCTTTTGTCATTAATGTTACTCTTCAAAAAAAAATTCAAAAAAAAAAAAAACTCGTACCTATATTTACGTTACAGATTCTAATATTTACGTTACAGGTTTTTATTTCTACGAATAAATGTGATTCCGAAAAATGGCAGCCAAAGGTTAGTTATGAAATGGTTATGTATGTTTATTCAACTCATTTCAAGATATTTTTTGCATATGTGTATTTATGTAACGTCTCTCGAGAATTTTTCACTCGTATGGAGACGCCAACACTTGACGGGTGAGAGGTGCAAATTTTGTACTATACTCAGCACTTAGGGCAAGGAGGGATCTTTTTCATGCCAATATCTACTGCAACATGGGGCCTCTTATACGGTCTCATCCTAAGGACTGGTCTCCACGTCCCACAGTGGAATTTGAACCCGCGACGTAAGGATTAACTCCTTACTCAGTGACTCGAGAGCAGATGTTCTAACCACTGCGCCACGTGAGCGACGATCTCAAGGTATTACACTGGTGATAGTTCCCACTATATAATTCTACAATATAGAATAAAAATTAAAATATTTTTAGATTACATGTAGGCATTGGAATCAGGATAAACAATACCCAATGCATGGACTTTCTCATTACTTATGAATAACGAATTATTTGCCCGTAACGAATATATTCTCAACAATTAGATATTTTTTTTTTAAAATAATTTTCAAAGATTTTACCCCCTGCTTAGATCACTGTACTTTTTTTAAATATGTAAACGATGCTTTTATTCCAACAAAAGAATATGTGTTTAGAAGGGGGTATGAAAGGTAGACACGGAGGGAAATGAGAATTAGAGAGACAGGGTTAAAGAGGGTTTCATTGATTGTATATTGTTTAACGTCCCTCTCGAGAATTTTTCACTCATATGGAGACGTCAGGGGGTTAAAGAGGGGAAAGAAAATGGAATTACGATTAGGAAGGCCAGAATGCAAATTGTGGAGGAAGAAGAAAGGAGTTAAAACAAGAGGATGACTACTCCCTGTTCTTTTCTGTTCATCTGAGACATTTTATAAGTTCCAAAACAATGCACAGTAATGGCAGACAAGAAATCATTTATTCATATTATATATTTTGTATTGCATGTAAGTTTCATTGATTTTCATTAAATGCAACTGTGTGTCTAAATATTTGCTGCAGACGTACCTCTACACGATGCTGTCAAACCCTTGCAGTGGTTGTTAGGCAAATGGAAAGGGGAGGGAAAGGGTATATATCCAACCATCGAGGATTTTAACTATATTGAAGATTTAGAATTTTATCATGTTGGCCAACCCATGCTCCAATTTAGGTATGTTTCTTCTAAAAAATTGAAAGCGGTTTGATTTATTTTTGTTTCTCTTAACCCTTGTTTGCATTTTAGAATACAGTTTTTTTTACTTTTTGTGCTTTTGAAGCTTTTCCTCTGTAAATAAAGCAACGAACAAACCACTTCACAGAGAAGCTGGATTTCTTAGAATCAAACCAGGAACAAATCAAGTTGCCTTTATATCTTCACACAACAATGGTAAATACATTTCTATTTGAAATATTAATACATCGAGATTTATTTTAAAGTAATAATGCATCACATTGTCTGGTGCTTTTCAACAATAAACGTAGGCATATACTTGTAACTCAATGTTTCTCTAACTTTCTGTCGTTGCCTTTTCTTATCAAAACAGTTTATTTAATTGCAGAGACTTGTTTTTGTTTCATTATAAATCAATTCAATAAATCAATTGTCCCTTTAAAGTCTTATGAATTGTTTTATTTTAAACTACAGTAATTCCTAAATTTGGGTTTTGGACGTTTTGCCGTTTCTTTTCGTATTGCAGAAACAATATGAAATAGGTAGACTTTTAAAATTGTGTAGATAATTCCACTTTTATTCAAAAACTCTTCAAATTTTTCTCGTGACATTATTTGTTTTTGCAGGTGTCAGTGAAATGGCGGAAGGAACAGTGGGCAGCCAGTGTATTACAGTGGAATCACACACCCTTGGCAGAATGAGTTTTGGAAAAGACCCTAAAACAAAAAAGGTACATACGTATATTTGTAACTTCTAGCAGTACAAGAGGAATAACATATATGCTTAATAATAATAGATATATGCAAAAGTTGTAAAAATTTATTTTTAAGTGGAAGTGTGAAAATATGAAAGTATATCTAAAAAACATTTTAAATATCTTTGAAAGTAACTATATAGCAGTTGCCATGGAAACGGTTGTTTCAAAATGCGGGGGAGACATTAACGTGATTATTATTATTTTAATTCTTAATACGAGAAATCAGAATTAAACAGCGCTTTGTGGTATATAAAACGAAAATTATGTCATTATTATGATTGTTTGATCTTTTATAAACATTTGTGTGAGAGTTTAACTGATTTTTTATTTAGTTTATAAGCTGATGATTTATTGTTCATCTTTAAGTTGTTACAACAAAAAGTGATATCCTTTTCGTGAAAATCACTACTATCTTAAATGGTATATTTTCATCTGGGAAAAATGCATTTAGTTACTGGTTTTCAAGTGGCATAAGAAATTTAAGGAAAATAAAATTTCCATGGAAGTTGATTAAAGGTATGATCGCTTTTTTGAGGCTCTGTTTTAAATGTGTATCACCCTAGACAAATTAAAAGCGTTAATGGACGTTGTCAGTTGCTGTACTGTTCTTGACATTGCCACTGAAATTGGAACATCATAGGTAAAGATGCCTGGGTAGTTTTTTGACATATGAGTAAAAAATGAAGATAAGTTGGTGCAAGAGGATACCCAGTCTTTTCTTGAGAAAAAAAAATGGAGAGAAGGGCAGCATTTTGTATTTTACCACTATTCAAATTGGACATAAGAGCGAGATGCTTCTATAACGTGTCGTGACATATCTAACTTGACGTTACGTCAAAGTCTCCCCCGGGTCTCACAACTATCCATTTTCAGAAAGGTCGTATGACATTATTGATAATTGGAAAGTGGTGAAATTTTCCAATATTGTTGCATTATGCCTCAATATTATGAATATGCCTGTTGTTTGCTTTTATTAAATCACGCTAAAAAGAAGTCGAACTTTTGGTAATCTATGCTGTAAAAATTTACAGAAGCTCTGAAAGTATAAACGTATGTAGAAGTTAAGTTATTGAGAGTGGATATGAAAATACGTGTTATAAATTCATATGCAGGGAATTTTACTAAACCAAGTACATGTACAAACCTGAGATCAATAAAAGGTATTTCATTTTTTTTATTCTACTGAAATATAGAAGTATTACACACAACAAAAAGTGAACTACAAATATCTTATCATGGTTCAATCTAATAGAACCAATGGTCTAGTTAAACCTTAGAAGAAAGCTTGATTTAAACACACTTAAGAGTTGCTTATTACATCTTCGATAGCCAAGGGTTTCTAATGCGCTACGTATACTCTCTTCATAGAGTGGCGTATCAGAAACCCTTGTTTAGCGAAGCAAATACAATTTAACTTAACAAATTGAGGTAGCTTGGGATATGCACATCTGTTTCATATTTGGATATTTTACTTGAAAAAAAAAACGTTAATGGTAATCTAACAACCAAACTTAATGAAAAACGTGATGGCTTTAACTTTACAATCGTCAACTTCCCTTACTTATGCGACAATATACCTTCATCACCTGCATACGGAGTTTATGTACCTCTGATTCGATACGCAAGAGCATATATTTCTAAGACGAGGTAAATTATTGAAAACAAGTTGATGAAACAAGATGTTTTAAAGCCATTATTCAAAGGATTAAAGATTTATCGCCAAAAAAATTATAGATCAAATGCTGACTGATGATTTTCACAACTATTGCTCTCATTACTTATACACTGAAATGAAAAGATTTATTTCTATTAATGCAAATGGTTTCAAAATATTATATAAAAATATATATATAATGTAGGTTGAAGATATATCGAAAGTTTGGCGTCAGAAATAATTTGTTCTCTTTTTTTCAGTTAAAGAGATTTATTTCTTTTAATCTTCTTATATCAAAATATTATACAAAAAATATTGTTATTTCTCTATGTAATCTTATAATTTTATTAATATTATATAAATTATATATAATCTTAAGGAATACTAATATACCCGTGTATAAAATTTTCGCGAGCTCATTGTCTGACACGCATAATTACGCAAAAATAAAGTTCTCGCGAATAAAAATGATTTACAGCACAATTTTGTTTTTTGTTTTTTTTTTTCAGTTAAAGAGAACGATAAATCTTGATGGAGACACACTACATCAGATTTTATACATGGAAACAGACGTTACTCCTCTTACAGAACATCTTCGAGCAACATACAGAAAAATTTAAATTTTGTTTACATCGGAATTTTTATGCATTGTCTTATCATCAGAGTCTTTTTGATATTTTGTTCTATTGTTATTCTTTAATGATCTAGTACTATAATATGTTACACCACCACAAACTTAGCTTCATGACATTCTTTCAGTTTTTATCTATATTTATTTTTCATTATTTTTGTGTGTTATAACCAGATAAAGTTTATTCTAAGTGTAAAAAAAAAATAATTATATATTATATTGATTCATATATACTTTACTAGTAAAAGAGGTTAAAAAAAAAAAGGTTAAACGTAACCGTAAAGCAAAATGTTATAATAAAAGTGATGACTAACTTTTCTATCGTCAATTTCTTTTATATCAAAAGTTGCAGCTCTCCGTCGGCAAGTGGTGGCGTCTCCATATGAGTGAAAAATTCTCGAGAGAGACGTTAAACAACATACAATCAATCAATCTATCGTCATCTACTTTTATATTTGTAGCACCCTTAGCACATCCATGTGGGGTTTTATTCTTCCAGATCATTAGATATGTAAGAGCATCCTCTACGTAATTAACATTTCTTTTCTAAAACGTTTCAATCTATGAACAAACACGTTGATGAATCAAGAATAGTCTCGTCTAATAATGTCAACATTCTTTGATTGATGTTCTGTGGTCGATGCAATCACCATATGCATATTAGAAAAATAGATTGTATTTAATACCATCTGTATTCAGTCGAATACTGACTGACTCTTAATACAAATTGTTAAGCAATTATTTACGCCTGCATTTTTACGGGTTATTTTTTAATATGACATGGGGTAAACGACTGGTTTGACCAGTCGACAGAGAATGCTTGCTCCTCCATGACACCTGATCCCACCTCTGATTGTTTCCTCTGCTCTTGATTTGAATTGTTTAATGGACTTTTGAGCATGATTACTTGTTCATTTTCATTATATTTCATTTTTGGGATCTAGTGACCTTTTTCTTTTTTTTTAGAAAAGTCTTTATATATTCAAGAAATGGATTTTTACGGGAAGAAACTAAGTGTTCGCCCGTCATGCATATCATTTCACGTCCAAACTATAGTTGAGGCCCTGGTATATCCAACGAACTAGACAGTGATTTCTTAAATATGCTTTATATAGTACTGTGAGTTGATCTAAATTCTGATCAATTTGTTCATTCTGTTAAACATTTTCTAAGGTTTCATTTCTTTAGTAATTTACATTCTTAATTTGAAAAAGCCTTGTTTATCATCCAGACTGCTTTGGAGTCTTTCTTTTTTGGTCTTCGGATCAAACCTTCTCCTACTCCCTATTCTGCCCGATTTACATGTACTTCGTTTCTAAATTCTTATTTTCCCGGGCTTAAAGCTGAACATGGCTCGTAAAAGGAAGAAAGAAACCTTCCATCATATTTTCCTCCTACAGTACCTGTATAAGTCAGCGTTGTTCACGTTTCAAAATACATGTATTTCGATCAAGGACTGCACTAAAGGGGGTCGACTGGAGTTTTCAGTGAGCAATACTTTGCACGTATAGTAAAATGATGCGTATTTACTGTTTAAAGCAACTATTTTAACATAATCAATAAAATCAAAGGAAATTAAGAACACAACACAACTTAAATAAGTTAGGCCATCTTTAAAATAACGTTTGTTCGCCATCTTCCGACTCAGGGTGGAAATATTGGGTCGGTGTTGAGAAAATCTTTTTCCAGTAATTTTCAACATATTTGTTGACGGGATAAGAGGAGCAAGGAGAAGAAAAATACTTTGTAAATTTTAAATAACTGTTCTCGTTTTTTTTAAGTTCAGACTTTAGGAGGATTGACATCGTTACAATGTGTTTTTGACCTTATGATAATCTGAAGCTTTATAAGAGGATGTCATAAAAAATTTATCTTAACATGCACAATGGTTTGTGCTGTCAACCTAGAAAAAAGACGCTATATGCAAATGTCTCCAGAATGACTGCATGAAAAGAAAGTATATGTGAATCATTAAAACAATCTTCAAAATCTGAGAATTAGAAGTTCCATTAAAAAATTTTTATTTTTGTATTTTGCTATGATACAATTTTTTTTTTAGGAAACCTTTTTAGTGTATTAAATGGAGAGTTTTGTGATTATTTGATGTTTTGGGAAAAAAGGGGGGGGGAGAAAAACGGAACATTTGTTTTGTATAATTATTTATATTCTCTAGAAGCAACTTTAAAGTAAAAAAAATAAGCACACAATTTTTAATCGCACATTTCAAAATTGTTCAAAATTTAGTTTTAGTTTGCCTTAGATTCATTGATCCTTTTATATAGTTCTTTTAAATTTTTAATCCAGATTTATGTACAGCATTTTTTTTATAAATGTGTTTTTACCTTATGAGAAAGCTTTATATAATTATGTCAATAAAATTATTTTAACATGCACAATGGTTTGTGCTGTTAGCAAACGCTATGCAAAATTAATGTCTCGAATTAATATGAAACATGTGTGTAATTATTTCAGTTTGATATGTGTAAATAACTATTCCCAAGAAAAAATACATGAAACCTTTTTAGTGTATATTAAATGGAGAATTTTGTGATTATTTGATATTTTGAAAAAAAGGAGGGGAGAAAAACGGAACATTTGTTTTGTATCATATCTTTAAAGGAGTAAATACATAATACAGGCATTGGCCGACTGTACAGTCAGTCAGATCAATGCATGCAACATTTGCTTCGGGCTACTTTTGTAATCATAAACAATTTCCTTCGTAAATCTATCAAATCATATTAACTTCGGTAAATATAAGTCAAACTTTCTTTCCATTTCACCCAAAACATTGAACTTAAATTAAAAATAATAATTTCGACAAAAAAAATAGTTGAGAGTCCATTTTAATGAGCATCAGAAACGTTTTTATCATTTCTTGACTTTCATCTTTGTTAAGAAGTTCGAACTTTGTCAAAAATTGTATCTTACTGCAGAAAAATTTAATAGAATGTTTCCCTCAAGTTGTTATAAACACTTTTCTTATCATTTGTTCCATTCAGGCTGACATACAGGAATGAAGACTGAGGAATTACGGTAAAATATTCCATATATTCCTCCAAGATACAACCAGCAATCGACAAATGATTTTTTAGGGGGGATTTAAACAATTTCTTTCAATTTAAAATTTCAAAACATTAAACAAACAATAAATAATGAACAAAATTTAGAGAATTTATTTATTTTCCCCATAGAACACAATCTGCTTGATCATCTTTGATTGTTCGAATTTATCAACACATACCCAATATTTATGAAGCCTCATCTTCTCCTGGCCGCAGGATCATGAAACATCTTAAGCTAAGTCATAATATTCATGTTGTACTAGAATTTTAATTGAGTAAAGTAGACAAAAATTAAAATATTTTTTTTAATATTGCTTTACTAAAATGTTGTTATATACAAAATTTACTTCATGATCCTGGGACCTGGTCATATATCTTTAATTTTGAATTGTTGTATCCAGACGTTAATTAGAGAAGAGCATCAGCTATATTTTTTGACGATATGAATAATTTTTAGTTTAAAATTCATCCATAAAAACACTGATTAAAAAAAAAGAAAAATTTGAATACTATATATAATAATCTTTCTCACATAAAACATATACACCATGGAACAATAAAACCTTAATTTGAAAACATGAACAATAAAATTACTAGTAATCTAAGAAGTGCAACAAAAGTAACAAATTAAAATCATTTTATATCACACATGCAAGAATTTACAAAATACTGATTTTTTTTAAATGCTTAAAATACTTATTGCGACTGCAAAAGACTACAATTTTTTTTATTTTAAATGGGCATAGACACAGATTTGAAGTTAATATTTTCTGTATAACATCACCACTTATATATTTTAATTGCATTTCACACAAAAATATTTTAAAAATTTTATTTCATCCAAAAGTTATTGAAACTTTAAATTTTTGGATGGATTTGATTGACACATCTTTGCACTCTCACAAATTTTTCTTTTATTCTTAATACTGAGGAAAAGTGGCAATCGTGTTGTGTATTAAAGAAAAATATTAAAACGTAAAATGTTAAAACTTTAATCCAGGAAAATAATTATATTCAGAGTAGAAATGTTCAAAAGCATAACTCCTTCACAAGTATCGTAATTCCGAGGTAATTGTTGTGTACAGTGTTAAGCAAATTGATCACACCCGTGAAACGTACATAGTTTTAGTAAACAGTGCACGGGCTCTGTTACATTGTATTGTTAATGTTAACGATTCACCGGATGTGCTCGATTGTTAAAGTTTGCTCACCACAACTGCACGGACTGGAAATATACCGTGTGTATGTTTTGCGTTCGAACATTTCTACTCTGAATTTTCTGGATTATTATTTTAATATTTTTGAATTTTACACAACATTGCCACTTTTCCTAAGTATTAAGAATAAAATTAAAATTTGTGAAAATGCAAGGATGTGTCAATCAAACCCGTCCAAAAAATTGAAGTTTTAATAATTTTTGCATGAAATAAGAATTTTAATATATTTTTGTGTGAAATGTTATTAAAATATATAAGTCGTAATATTATACAGAAAATATTAACTTCAAATCTGTGTCTATGCACCTTTAAGTACTTTAATGACATAATACATGTAAGTTCAGATATATTCATCCTTTCTTTTACTATAAAAAACAGAATTTTTTTCACTTTGCTCCATGACATACCATCGAATATACATGTATGTCCCTTCATAATTAAATTTCAACTATTTTCTTCGTTTTAAAATTAAATTAAAATTTTTCCTTAAATGATAAATTCTTTATTCCATTTTTCCTGTAGATAAAACCTTTACTTATTGACGAAGTTTCAAGTATTACGCCTTTGCCCTCTAAAGGAAGTAGATGGACTTTACACCAGGGAACCATCTTGTCTTTAACTAATTATTTCTTTTCCAATGGCCATTGATTACTGTACTAAATTGTCGCAAATTTAAATTTAAAAAAAAAATCAAATTTGTAAAGGACAATAAGCACGACAAAAATTTTTTTCCGTATCTTTGATTTCAATGAGAATATTAATTTATTCCATTTCAAAATCATTTTCGTTTTAAATTTATTTTAAGTGATGTTAATTTCAGTGAAAATTTTAAATTAAATTTGATTTAAAAAATGAACGTTTCTTACCTTCCCTTTCGTGATTAAGTTTTGTATAGTCTTATTGTGTGGGACTTGTTCTCCAACTCTATATGTATCTCGTATATTGATTCCATCCTTGGGAATTTAAAAGAGCAAATCGTGCGTACATGCGTGTTTTTTTATCGGCATTAAACAGTTAAATCAAAAGCTCCTTTGAACATATCGTCATGGTTTACAGTTGAAACATATATCGTTTTTGTTCTACCTCCCTAAATCTATTCATAACTTTTAGTTTTCTTTGTGTTTAAATGTGTGCTTTTGGATACTTTTTGATCTTTTGTTTAGAATTCAATAAAAGTAATAAGATGTAATGAAACTCATGCATTCGTGGAGATTCTTGTGTCTGAAAATGTAACCAAAATATGTATATACTACGAACTCAGATCAAAATTAAAGAAGAACAAATTAAACAAAAAAAGTCAAAAATTAATTCAGATAATCCAAAAACTCATGATGTGGATAAAATGCAATCTGGTCAATAAGCTTCAGATACAAAAAGCAGGTTACACGGGGGATTGCTGGAGATATTTGTAGACCCTGCATCATTCCATAATTTGTAAATTTGACAATGCTATGAGTCGTTCTCTTCATTGTCTGATTGACACACGTAAAATTCCTCCTCCGAATCAGAGTGACACACTGGATCCGCCCACATGTCACCCGGAAGTCCTTCCGCGGCGGTGACGAAGTTTTCCTGCGGAGCAAATTTTCGACCTTTCGTCGTGCGCGATCGCACCTGCGCATCAACAGTGTCCCATTCCTCGTCCTCACGTGGTGACGTCAGTGAAGGATCTGGTGAGGCGCTGGTGCGAATGTTTATACGCCTAGTTCCCTTTATAGTCACGTTTGTTCGCTTCTTCATTTTGTCCACAGAGTCACTATCAGCTTTTCGTAACCTACCATGATCTCTTAAACTTTGAATTTGAACGTCTCCTCCGCTTTTTCGACGCAAACTTCCTTCTTCGATTTTGCTGATGTACCTACTCAATGTTTGTCTATTTTTAACACTGACTCGTTTTAGAAATTTGATTTCGTTCACTGATATTGGAATCTTAGGGCCATTTTCACGTTTATTTTTAATTACCTCTGCAATCACATTCTTTATATCCTCTACATGTAGCAATGTATTGAATTCCGTAAGTTTTGAAAGCCGCTTAAAAGCATCATGTGAATATTTGAAATTAAATGTTGAGTATGGTGATTCTTTGTCGTCAAAAATATCAAAAGCAGCAAATTTTATTTCCTCTTCGGTCTTTCTTTCAACTCCTAAAAAGTAAATAAAGAAGGAAGTCCTTAAAACATTTCTTATGGATTGGTGTCCTTTAAGGCTTTATGGCTAAACAATTTAGAAAACAGAGAATCATTATTCAAACGAGTAGATTTACATTGTCTTAATAACACTTAATGCATTTTCACAAAGTTGAGAATTGATGATTTTGAGTAGGTAATATTAAATAGTTTATTACTGTAGACTATGCTTCATTACGTGAAGTGACTCTCTGCTAAGACCAGTAGACTCTAAGTTTGATTTGATAAATAAACATCTATTCAGGGATTACAGAGCGCACTTAAACGAATGTTTGTCTTTAAGTAATTAAGGCAAAGTCCCACATGAAAATAAAATCGATATCTAGATGCAAGCCCGATAGTGTGCATCCCTAGATGTATCACCCATGTAAGGATTTAGAGTTACTATAAATAAACCTGTTCCAAAAACTTAAACCTGTTCACTCATCCATAAAATGTAGGTTGGATCAAGTATCTGAAGGAAGCTAGGTAGTATGCCATCCTTGGATAGGGCTAATACGAGTAGTTACTCAGAAATCAGATATGCACCAAACACTTTAACCTGCTCCAAAAACATTAACCTGGCCTGGGGGCCATAAAACTTAGACGAGCTCTCTTTTCTACTATATATTCCTTTAGTAAAAGCGAGCCTAAGATCAAAAGTGAGCTCGTGAGTTTTATGTCTCCCAGGCCAGGTCACTCCTTAGCTGAAACTGCGGCACAGGAAACCTTGATTGGTGCAATGAAGCATCTTAGAAGAATTTTGGATGCATATCTGATCAATATAGGACATAGAAGTACTTAAAAAGAAAAGTGCTCCAAAAACTTTAACCTGGGACCCCGACTTAGACACCGACGGTATCACATAAGTTCCCCGAACTTCGTTGAGGTGAGCTAAAAATTAAACTGTTCTCAAATTGAGTTCAACTGATTTACATGTACTTTCCATTTTAACCCCCGTTTCCTTGAAAAAAAAACAAATTAAACAGCAGGGTCTCTCCATTTTAAAATTTTCTCTTACCTGGAGCTTTGAATCTTCGGAACTCGATGTTAACAAGACAGAAATGAAGGACAATGGGACAGTAGGGGTCCGTGGGGTGTTTGAATATGTAGAGTTCCTTCATTCCTTCCCGGTCAAATACCGTAGTGTCAATGGGAGGAAAGGAAAGCTTGTTCATGCTGGCCCATTTTTCCGCCAACTTAAGTTCCTGTAGAAAGAAAAATATTAATATACATATGTTATTAATGTTTTACTCATTCATTAAGTAAATTCAGGTAGGACTTGATCTATACTGCAGTATGAATACATTTGGTTTCACTTAATGCAATTGCTTCCCTAAACTGATTCTCAAGGAAAGAAAAGTTATGTATGTACCTATTTAATTAAAATTTAATTTAAATTCTCATTTCTATTTTCATTCAGTCCATCTTTATGAATTAATATACCGGTATTGTATCAACATACATATACATTACGTGTTCTGTTAGAAACATTTGTGAAATAACAAACACACAGTAACGCTTAATAATAACAACGTGGAAAAACATTACAAGTGTTAGAATAAAAAAAAACTGGAAAAGTTTATTAACAAGATGTCGCAGTCAATTTGAAGATGTACAAACGTAAACACTAAACCACATGATAAAATACATGTACATTCCATCTTCGCTAGCCAAGGGTTTATGGAGAGCGGAGCGAACCGAAAACCTTGGCTAGCGAAGATGTGTACATTCATACATACGAAATATGAAAGGTTTTGAAACTGTATGTTTTTTTCATTTGATCTTGACAGTCTGTAAAATGCATAAAGTAAGTTTTCCTGAAGTTATTTCACTCATTCGCATAAAAGGATGCGTCAAAAATTAAATGTAAATTTCTCTTCATTCTCCGAAAAAGGATTCCAAAATTTACCAAATTAAATTAACTTCTAAAGAGCCTCAATGATAAAATGATCCATAAATCCTGAATGACTTTCTAAACTAAAAATACTAAAAATCGAAGACAAACAAATTTATACTCAGAGATATATATTTACTAGTCATGAATAATAGTTAAGTTCATTCATAAAAGGCTTTATTTTTTTTCAGATAATTATCTTTCCAGCATTAATTTTGACTGATATATACATCAATGCACTGAGAGTATAGATACCTTAAATGGTGGGGTGGTATCACTGGGCCTAGCACTGAAATCAAATGACAGGATGATTTCTGCAGCTCTCTGGGCTCGCAGTACCAGGGGATAGGGTGAATTGAACGTCAGGCCTGCATCCACCATGTATAAACGTTTAACGTTGGTAGGGTGCATTTCATGCAGGCCGTCAAAGTCATCTAAAATAAAACAAGATTAAAAGGGTATAAAAGTAAATCAATCTAAAAAGGATTTCGAGAAAGCCATTGATATTTAAGTTATTTTTTTCTTTATTCAGATATTTGAAATATTCTTAAGTTGATTGAATTTTATTTTGGCTTATTGACGTCACAATACAATAAACAGTTTAATGAGCAAGGGATCTTTATTGTAAAGACCAAATGTTTCAAATGCTTTGCAACTTCAGACTATGTTTTTATTTGCAAGATGAAGAACCAATAAATACTACTACCACTATTTTTCAAAAATCTGACTAATTTTTTTTATTTCTAAAAACAAAAAGGATAAAGGATAAAACATTAAAAGTTATTAATTTGAAAACTTGTCATTCATGACGTAAATTTAAATAAACGCACTTTCACAGAATTTCAAAAATCATGCTGAATTGAATGGATTAAATTGATATTGTTCGATTGACATTTCTTACCACTCTTCCTGTTCCCTTCGTTGTCTGGGCAGAAGGGGGAGAGGGGAAATGTTTGTTGTAACGACAACCCTCTCATAAAATTGTGTACCACACCAGCTCTGCCGGCCCGGGAATTGAGCATCTCGAATCGCTTACTAAAAGAAAAAAGTAAAAACATCTCAGTGTCATTCACACTGTAATAGACATACATATAGTGCTAGAGGAACATTAATTAAATTGTAGAAAGATTTATTTTTATTATTTTTTTCAATATGTGTAGGATAAACGCCCCTGATAGAAAGTTACAAAATACGGTTGTAACAACAGATCGATTCTATATACCCAATACGAGTTTAATTCCTTTGAACAGGAATGATTTAATGTACTTAAAAACTGGTAATGAAATATCGTAAAAAAGGTTTTATTAGATTTCTTTTATTAGCTGACAATCGAAAGATTCTGTAAAGTTCCCAAGTGGTTTTGCGTGGAATTAAACTTTAAATTCCACAGAATGAAATCAGTGAACTTAATATAGTTATGCCACTATAAATTTAATCAATTTCAAAGTGCATGTGCACTTACTTCTCCAAGAGCCCCGACAGGAAGTTGTTCCAATACCCCTTCTGTTTGGTCCTCCGGACAGGGTCGTTTCTTTGGCGGGGGTTTCCGTGCCCATTGGACATGGTTTGGTTGGCGGTCGGCGGGAAGGAGAAGACATTCTTACTTCCTGGCTTCTCTGTGAGGGGTTTCTCTGTTTCTGGCTCTTCTTCATCTTCTTCATCTTCGCTGCTATCACTCGACTCTTCGTTCGGAGTTTGTTCAAGTGTCTTAACTATATATGGTAGAAATGTAACATATGTCAAATTTCTTTCATTTAAATCACTCAAACAGCAGATTGAATATTTTCATGAAAAAGCAATAATAAATGCACAAAGCCTCTATTAAAATTTTGATATACAGTAAACACCTTTGAATAAAACTGTTGAACATATTAAACATTGCATCTGAGAATACAGCAAACCTTGATGACAGCACTAAATCTAGACATATCACATTCTCTTGTAACATAATATACATGTTTAAGATAACAATTTACACAATGCAAAAACGGCTAGATGGCTATAGAAACCTTTATTAGTTAGCCTCCCATCTACTTGATCACCAAGTGATCCCCAAGCAGTCTTATACCAGGTAGTACCCATGGTCTTCTTATATTTTGATTCTACCTGAAACTGCCATACTGTGATCGTAAGGGTAAGCAGTGTCAAATCAAAGAGCGACAAAGGATTGGCAAATTATCTCTTTAATTTGCTTAGGATTATTAAGAGGTCTTTCTAATCAAAAAAAGTCGCCTGCGTGGCGCATTGGTTACAGTGTCTGTTCGAAAGTCGAAAAATAAGTTGATTCTTACGTCACAGGTTCCAATCCCACTGTGGGATATGGAGACCAATCCTACGGATGAGACCATATATTGCCTTAGTCACATTTCCTGGCCGGTGGCCGTACACCGGTGGTAATCGGTGGTAATCCGTGGTGTGAGCGATGCCCCAATATCGGTCCACATCGGCCTAGTAGTCCTTAAAGTATCAGTCACATTATCGAGCGATAGGTCTATCATGGTAATCGGTCGATGTATATTACATCGCTCATACATTGGTGAACATTGTTCGTACGTCGGTCGACTATGGACCAACGTTTGGTCGAACATAAACCAATGATCGGCCGATGTCTGTTGCCCACCACTCATCCCCCCGATGACCTCAGAGTCAACGGACACTTGACGATACTCGGTCATACATCGGCCAATCCTTGCGATGTGTTAATGATGGGTTGCCGATGAGGAGCGATGTGGGACATCGGTGGAGACATCGCTGATTTTTAACTACAACTTATTTTCTACCGATGGCCCCACCGATTTTCCAAAAGGCCTCAATCACCGTCCGATTACTATAGGTGTCCAGCCGGCAACCACGCCATTTTTATCCAAAAACTCATCGTTTTCTCATCGTATACCCCATCGCTGGCTAATGTGACTGATACTTAAACCTCAAAACTTCTTTCTTTCATCAAGCTTGTTCAAAAGATTTCGCTCAACAAACTCGCAAGATTAAGAATGCGACAATCATATGAAATAGTTTTTTTTCAGTGTACATTACCTTCGACGTCTAGGAGGTTCAGTGAATATTGTACATCACAGGAAGCTATTTATGCTTTATTAAATGGTTCTTAAAGTATCAGTCACATTACCCAGCGATGGGGTATACGGTGAGAAACCGATGCGGTTTTTTGATAAAAATGGCGTCGTTGCCGGCCGGACACCTATTGTATTCGGACCGTGACTGAGGCCTTTTGGCAAATAAGTGGGGGTCATCGGTAGAAAATGAGTTGTAGTTAAAAATCAGCGATGTCTCCACCGATGCCCCACATCGCTCCTCCTCGGCAACCCATCATTAACACATCACAAGGATTGGCCGATGTATGACCGAGCATCGTCAAGTGTCCGTTGACTCTGAGATCATCGGGGGGGGGGGGGTTGAGTGGTCGACCAAACACTGACCCATAGTCGACCGACGTAAGAATAATGTTCACCAATGTATGAGCGATGTAATATACATCGACCGATTACCATGGAACATCGTTTTATGATTAGCAATGCATCGCTGGGACTTTGCAAGTCCGACCGGCAACAACTCCATTTTTATCAAAAAACGCACTGGTTGCCCATCGTATACCCCGTCGCTGGATAATGTGACTGATACTTAAATGACTACTAGGCCGATGTGGACCGATGGGTATCGCTCATACCAAGGATTTCCATCGATTACCACCGGTGTACGGCCATCGGCTGGGAAATGTGACTAAGGCACTAATTGACAAAATGTTTAATAGAGATCTTCTTACATCACGATCTAGAAGCTTTTATATTTCATTTTCTGAATTATCCCCCAGAGACTGATTATAACAGGACTTTTTGTAGCGAACTCGTAGAGTTTTTGAGATAAATAAAGATCACAGAGAGATCTACAGAATTGTTTTAAATATCAAATACGACCAAGAAAGATCATTGAAAGCCCAAAACGAACAATATATATTTCTAATAGAGCGTTGGAAACCTCCAAATCAATGTTTTTGTGTTCTTTGGACGTTCTTTTTATTAGTGGTGAACTTGAAAATTCCTGAGAGACTGTTTTAACAAACTTTTTGAAATTATCATGGGATCGTGGATACGACTGGAAAATACTGAGAAAAAACGATGTTGGATTGGAGACCGTTGATAATTAAGAGATCCTGCCAATTTTGCAAACCTCAGCAATCTCTTTCATTGTAAAAATGAGTTTAACATGCTTAATGTTTACATAGAAATGACTTTTAGAGGCTTTCAGAGATTGACAAGGAAATGTAGAAGTCTACAAGTAAAATATGCAAAATGTTTCCCAATGATCATCTTCGCTAACCAAAGGTTTCCGATACGCCTCTCTCCTCATAATGAGAGTATCGTATCTGAAAGCCTTGGCTAGCAAAGATGCACAATGATTTTCATTAAATTTGTCTACACGTTTGTTTTTTTTTAAATTTGTTTTAATGGTTATTATCCATTCAGTTATTTTTGGAATCACTAATCTATAAAATTAATGTTTTGACCTCCTGTATAATTTAACATTTAATTAATGTACAAAAAATATGAAATTCAGTACTAAATGAGATTTTACTTTTGAATCGGCAATATTTTGCATGTGTGTCAATGCTTTTTTAGATGGTGGGGTGGTATAGGAACTAGGGCATTATAAGAATTGTCTAATGATAGTGCAAACAATTCCGTCAATTTAGAAACATTTACCCATCTCTTGTCGAATCATTTCTACAGGATCTTTATTCCTATTGTCCTCCAATAACCTCTTAAATAAAATACAAAAGGCGCTCCCCCAAATCCCTGGAAAGAAAGAAAATACCACAGTCAAACAGAGAGTACCCAAGGTCGAACAGTGTTGTTTTCAGTATTATAGCTGATAATACAAATGAAAAATGAAATCTTGCTGAATAGTTACCCTGCAAGAAATGAAGAGGTGGTTCACCGTAATGTTTGACCAGTTTACCCATGAAAAACTTGCTTCCAAAATACTCTGAGTTCATAAAGGCTCCATATTTTGGCATTCCAATTTCATAGGGAGAAAATTCCACCCATTCTACAGAAAACAAAACATTAATACACACAATTTTAAAAATTGGAAGAGTTGAATGTATGTTATCCTGTACTAAATTATACAAAGAGGAATTGCTTTTTGTCAGTTTTTTTTGTGCAGCTGAATAAAATCTACATGTATATCTTTTTATTTGTGTACAAATTCTTGTCTTTTATCCTGTTAACATTCATAATTCGCACCTTGAAAACTTCTCGCCGATCGATCTGCTTTTACATTTACACACGTCATCAACGGAAGTGGTACTCTTCCATTTTTGACTTTCTCCCTCATGTCCGATAATTTTGTTGTTAGTCTCTGAAATAAAACAAAAAGACATTTCAGGGGATAAAAGCAAATATATGACTTTTTTGTCTCCAGGATGTATTATATGAAGATTGGTAGACAAACAAAAGTATAACGTTCAACATTACTCTGTATTTATATTTGCTTGCCAAAAAATCTATTCTAAAAAACTTACGTCTTTGAGCAGTGTTTCACCCACGAGGTGTCCAAATATATCAGTAAAACTAATAGGCTGTCCATTTCTACGTTTTTCAAGAATGCGATCCACATAGCGGTAAATACTTTGCGGTGATAGCAGCCAAATTAAGCTAGAGTCTATATTATTCATCAATTCTTCCTGCATGTCGCCGGGATGCATTTCTGGCCAGTCTTTGTGTGAGTAAAGCGTGGATAAATACCTTCAAAAAAGCCAGACGTAAAATAATTCTGATACATATACAATTATCCTCTATTTGTGGTGAAAAAAGCCAATAGCAAAAATATAATTAATAAATTAAATGTTCTAGACTTGCTAGATAGCCTCTCGCACCAGAGGAATAGAGAATCAGAATGTTGAACGTACTACCCTATTTTTAACTTCACACGGTTTTTATTGCATATCATTAGTCTGAATTTGTAACAAAATATGCATGAGGAACTTGTTACACAAACTAACCATGAAGAGCCGGACAGTCCGCAGACATATGAAGTACAATCTAGGATCCCGGACTTTTTCAAGGCGTTGAACACTCCACTATACGCCACCATAGCTCGGAATCCGCCCCCAGATCCAATAACGGCTACGGATGGAACCTAGTACGATCAAACGGTAATTCATGTTTGAAGTTTAAGACATTTTGTTACAGTATTTTATATATATTTTAGTAACCAAACAAAAAAAACTTTGTTTAAAGGTGGGGTTTTTTGAGTTTCAACTGTTCAAATGTTTTAACATATATTTATTTTACATGTATATACTAGTACCTTAATGTAAAAATAATCAAGGTGATGAACATTTTGAGGAAAACTGATTAAATTTCTTTTTTAGACTTATATGTTTACATGGTTTAAATTCACTTTAAAAGGCAGCTAAACAGCAAGTCTACAAAATTTGATATATGTGTTACACGGTCACATGCTAAAGTATGAAGTACATTGTGTATGTAATCCTTATAATATCCCTTAGCTTATGACAGTTCTATTGACTTAAGTTCACTTCAACTTATCTGACCTTTACTGTAAGGTTTTTTAAAAGGTCAGTCAATGACACTACAAAATAAAGAAAAGCTATTATATTTTGTAGACCGGAAGGTGCAAATTAAACACGTTAACATGCATATTAAATATCAACCGCGTGATGTGGTTTGAGCAGAACATCCGTTTCAAGATGCTCTAATACAGGGCGTAAACATACGAGTCCAAAAAAACATATGGATACATCGAAGGGTGGGGTTCACTATTCAATACAAAACGAAGCACAGGTAATTGTGCGACCTACGTCCTCTATGTCTTGAGGTCCCTTTTCTTTTCCTAGTAATTCCACCATTTTATTCATGACCACATCTTTTCTCTTCTCTATGAAATCTTTTTCTTCGTCACAAAGACACAAGCTGTACCGAAGAGTAGGATTTTCACTGCAAACAATGTGATTATACAATTATACAATTACATACAACTACAAGTTTCCTAAAGACCATATATAAACTTTAATTCATGGTTCATAAATATAATTTACTTCTTTTCACTTCGCAAATTCAATCCCCATTAATTTAAAAAAAAATTAATAAATAGAAAAAATAATGAACAGCTTGCATGTCTGGAAACCTAGAGACCTTACATTCAAAGGGAAAACTGTATGAAATCGAAATGAGGGGAATAACGGATATCTATGTCAAACAAATAAATGATAATTTCTGGTTTTTTATTTGGAATAATAAGTCTTTTTAAAAAAAATAGACAGAAATGTGTGCTGCTTAAGCAAAAATGAAGAAGGAGTGAACATCATAAATACGAGTATTTAATTTTATAAAAGTAAACAAATAAAAACGATTCATAAATTCATGCATTCAAAGTTAGGAACATGGAATGCTATTGGTAAATACTGGTTTTAGAGTAAAGATCTGCATCCAAGTCAAGAATATTTCTTATGCACTTGTTCAGATTTGTCTGAAATTTCCTTCAATAACATGTTTATCTTTTATTTTTAAAAAAATAAAAATAAAAAAGCAATCATCGCATATAGCGAATTTCAGTCAAAATTTGAGCCAGAGAATCGGAAAGAAATACTTAACCTCTCACTCTTTGGTAATGAACATGTACAACAATACCATGGGAAAATCCTATACATATATATGGAATCATTTATTAAAAGTGGTTTAATTAATTAAAATTATAAACATTTGGAATGATGAGAAAAAACCGTTTAAAATATACTATTTTTGAAATTATTAGACAAAAGATGTTGGATATTTGAATATAGTAAAATAAAAGCAGTCATTCCTAAATTGTGTCATCAAATAATGAAAAGAAACAACTCAGTATCTAATAACAAAACAAAACTCCCTTATAAATTGAATAATAATTTACTCGTTAAAGAACATAGAAAAAATATAAAACAAGAAAACAGTTTCAAAATATCAAGAAAAATGGAAAAATGTTTCAAAATAACATACACTGGATTTTTGTTTGGGCAGTATTTCAAAAGTAAAAATAAAATTCAAGAATCCCAATGGAAATGTCTGCATAATACACTGTATATTGTATACTGAAGATAAATTATGTAAAATTGGACTATCCAATGGTTTTTGCAACTTATATGAAAAACCATAAAGAAAATCAACAAAACCTCTTTTTCCACTGCAGAAAAGTAAAAGCAACACGCAAGTTGTTAGAAGACATAATTGAAAATGTGCTACAACTAAATGGTATTTCACAAATTGACCAACAAACAATAACATTAGAATACTTGAAGGAACCGCAAATCCAAAGATTATCGTATGAAAATGTAATGCTAGATACCCCAAACTATGTGTGTGAGAATAGAATTATTCATGTTTTTGGAAAATTTATTTATATTGTTTTGTTTTATGTTCTTCTTTTATTTTCAAAATACTCTAAATATTGATCTTGTTTCAAAGCTCTAAAACATAAAAAAGACCCGTATTGGAGGGTGACCTGGCCCTCGATACTAGTTACACTGGAATTGATGATGCAGTTCGATGAGACAAGCAAACTTAAATGCTTGAAAAAGTAAAAATCAGTTAATTGTCGAAAGGGTGCGTAATTTACCATTGAATTTTTGAATCTTGGCTTCTCTCCTTTTTTGAAATTTCCACATTCAACAAAACAACGTCGGGGAGCTGATCGAAGATCTGATTTTTACAAGTTTTTGATGGGCTTTATTAGTCACAAAGAAATCAAATTAAAATGAATACTTACTCTTCGTGAATACTGAATTCAAGTTCTACCTCAGATTTCTAAAAAAAATCATTAAAGAATAATCGTTATGGAAAACAGGAATATAAATACATGCAAGAAAAAAAAAAGATATTGATCCAGTACAAAAGTACAGATCATATGGTCAGTATTACATTTGAAAGTAACACTTCATGAAAAAAATAGGGAAGTGTACATATGTTTTATGAAATATAATTCTACTATGACGTCAATTAATTTTCTTTTGACTTTCAATTACTGCTGATGAACAAGATGATAAAAGCATTGCAATAATTGCTCCATATGTAATAAAAACATTTTTTCAAAATATATTGATTCCTTTACATGTTTAGAGTATTATACGACAATGTACATTCGTTGGAGTACCTTAACGTTTTATCGATACTCTGTGCATGCAACTTCTAAATGAAAGACTGCCATATCAATGTAATAATACAAAATTAAATCATAGCTAGTATGTTTACCCCATTAAAGAAAAACGACTTTCTTGTAATTTCAGTTGGAGACAGAGAATTCAACGGAAACCACGCGTCGCCGATCGTCTGATCCAGTGATCCAGGGTTTGCTTCCATTAAAATCATGTCTGAAAGAAAGTGTAGATTTTATAAATAAATGTTTTTAAAACTTTATTGTTGTAGAAATATCCTATTACTTTGAGTAATATTTTGTGTGTGTGTGTGTTGTTGTTGTTTTTTGTTTTTTTTGGTCGAAAACATGGATTTAAAAATCTTATAATGTTTTCTAGAACTTAAAAATTAACATTAAACACCTCGGGGGAATCACGATGGTTATCTGGAATTTAAAAAAGGTTTAACTTTGCGGACGATATCATTCTGATTTATTTTCTTTGTTAAACTGATAAAATCTATTCTCAGGACAATTTCTAACATGTTTGACCCATTACTTGACAAATATCCAAGGTGTTTTGCTTCAAACTTTCTCTGTGTAGAATTAAAACTTTTATCTAAATGAGTCTATGTGAATTTAAACTCAGAATAAACAGATTTTATCTCTAATATCGAAGAACACGGCCAGAGAAAAAGAAAAGCGAGCATCAAAGAGAATAAAGCCGGCTTTTGGTTGATATTCTATTATGGACAGGACAAGAATGTTTTACTTTTATATAATGTCCATGAATTTCTAAATTTTTAAGACCATGTTGAATGCTGACAAAGAAAATCTATGGATATCAAAATTTTATTCCTACAGTACATGGATAAGAGAAAAAAAAACTACGCCTAGATTTTTTATGATTTTGTTTTACGCTACCATATCCCAACCCGGATTCCAATTGATTTTATCCGAGTTCCACGTATCAATTGTACACTTATAATTAAAGAGTTGCGAATCAACATCGATATTTATATTCTTTGCGGATCATTATCTTGTTTAAAAATTAGCTTTTTTACAAATGCAATTACAATTTTTTTAAAAGGAAAAAAAAGTGCAAATTGCATTGGTTTACGTGCGAAGATCTTTAATAAATCACTATCGTATACAAGCTTACGAAATGTGTTATATTTTCCTTCTGACTACTTACTGGAAGCTGTGGTTCTTAGCGGAGGCCAAGTATTTTAAAGTGTTGTGCAAAGGCGGAAATTGCAGTGAAGTTTTCTGTGCATGTAACAATAAATTTATATCCCATAAGTGTATAAAATAGCAGCTTGAAAAGGCATCGAATTTTACACTTTTGGGACATTTTCAGATAGGGCAAGAAATTAAACGAAGGGACCTCCTGAATATCTCTGTACTAATGAAGCACTCCTTCAAACAGGATCATGGCCCGAGTGAAGAAAATGGCTCATCTTCCCATCAGTGTTTAGTGCGTGAAGTAATTTTTTCCATAGTACAAGGACAGGCAATTAAATATGCACTCACTTTAGATTTAGCTACATGTATAGGTTGCAAAGTGTAAACTAATTCTATGTAACAATTTCATACAATTTTAAAATTAAACATAGATAATCAAAGATTAAATAAGTCACTATTGAATATTTGGAAGATGTACATTTAGGTCAGATCCAGCATTTGAAGCAAGTCAGGTTATTCATTATCATCCATACAAGTTTGGTCCATGTAGGACAAATATTTGCTTGGGAAAGGACCAGTTCTGAAATCGTTTACCTGTTCCATCATCTGGAAAATGCAGAATCAAGTCTAGTAGTTTTCATTCTTACACGATGAAATTGGCGATTTGACTGACTCTTCCTATGAGAAACTGACCAATGTACATGTACTCAGTAATCGTTATATAGGGAGGTAAGCAGGATAGAAAAATATTAGACATTTATTGACTGAGTTCGAGGGCAACATGTGTTTTGTCGGACCAAAGAACCAAACTGTCTGCCTGAGACCGTTAGGCCAAGGCAGACAATTTAGTTCGAGGGTCTACAAAACGCATTTTGCCCGAGAACATTGTCAATAAATGATTTGTTACACCTTTCATTTTAATTTTTTTGGACATACATTTTATACTGTCTTCCGTGATGTAACCTCAGGTCCGTCAATTTTGAACAACAACGAATGAAACTGAAATTAAGCACCGCCCATTCTGTGACGTAAGCGGTCCAACATCTCATCGACCGGTCCAACATCTCACTCAGCCATCCAACATCGATTTTTATGCTCGCTCAGCAAACATTAAAAATATTTGACTTTTTTTCGTAAAAAGATTTGTAAAGGAACAAATTTTCAAAGGTATAACAATCAGTATTGTGATACCTTTAAAAATCTATTCCAATACAATTTATTTGAAATAAAGTCTAATATTTCTAATGTTTTGCTGAAATTTGGGCATAAAAAATCGATGTTTGACCACTAAGCGAGATGTTGGACCGGTCGATGAGATGTTGGACCGCTTACGTCACAGAAGGGGCGGAACTTGATCTTAATTTCATTAATTGGTGTTCAACATTGATGGACCAGAGGTTCCATCATGGAAGAAAGTACAAAATATATGCATATCCAAAAAAATTCAAAATGTAAGGAGTTATTGACTATGTTCTCGGGCAAAATGCGTTTTGTCGATCCTCGAACCAAACTGTCTGTCTTCGGCCTTACGGCCTTACGACAAAACGCAAGTTGTTCTCGAACTCGGTCAATAAATGTGTTTTTTCATATATAATGTATTGAACTGATGGACACAAAAATATGTAATCTTAAGTATGAGTCTCCTACACTATTCGTTGTATGCAATCAAGGTGTGCATTGAAGGATTTAATATTTCTTTAACAAGGGAACAGACGGAATCTGATTCTCTGTTTTTTGATTCTATACAAAGAGCTAATATCAAGTATCGAAGTTTTATAATTTAGCAAATAGTTAGACAGACTAAAAATTCATTGATGTCAGGTATTTCAAGTAGAATTTAAATGAACACTAATTTAAAACATTATTTATTTATATGCATACAAAGGTTAACTTTTTTTAATGTTAATATTCGGATTTTAAACACTTCATGTGGCTACATTTATCTTTTGATTCCCGTAAAGAACTATAGGAGAATGTAAAAATACACTAGTTATGCCCTGCAGTTTTTATATTATATACATATTTAACACAAGTCTGCAAGGGGAATGCTTAAAACTGCATTATAATGTACAGAACATGTTTATTATTATAATATATTGAACATGTGAAAAGATGTTTAATCGAGGTTTGAAATCGTTCGTTTGCCTCAGATCGAGCGATTTCCAGTGAACAAGGAAAAATTCTTTCCACGACATCCGTATTTCCTATCGTGAATGTTTCCTGAGTTTTATTTATTTTCCGAATATTTTCAGTGATATTAATCTCTTTTTATTTGCTTCCTACAGAAGAGTGGGAACTAAATCATTCGTCTAGCTACACCGAATTAAAATAAGACGGTTGCTGACACACATAATGAACAATTGTTCGTTCCCATAAATTGCATTAACAAACAATATACGTTTGTGAAACACTGATGTCCCCGAATTGCAGCTCAAGGTCAAAAGATGTTAATTTCTTCCAAATGTAAGCCAGTCTTCATGGTCGAGGTCAAGAGTTCAAAAAGGTTGATACCAAATAAAAGGTCTTGTCATATGGATTTTACAAATGTAAATGATAAAAGGCATAGTAAAGAGATTAATAATTCAGAAAAAAATCCTGCCCATGTTGAAAGTTTATCGAAACGATCAAATAGAAGTGTATATTACAAGGCCAATGCATGAAGACAAAAAAATTTTGAGTCTTGTCACAAGGGATGCGGAATGCATCAGTGCATTATGTAAGACCTAGCAGCAACCATTCAAAAGTTATAAGCAAAATTAAATTATTACAGTGAAAACTGTCTAATCCGACACCTGAATAATCCAGCACACTGTGGTTTCCGATGTTAAAATCCTTTCCCATTTTTAATATTTTCCATCTTTTTAACACTGTGCAATCCGACACCGTCTATTCCGACACAAAATTTGTCTCCCAGTGCATGTCGGATTAGACAGGTTTCACTGTACTATCAAAAGTAGTCACATATAAATTGTTTCTAACAAACATAGTCAAACTTCAGGGTGAAGGTCAAGAGGTTAACAAGAGGCCCATGGGCCACATCGCTCACCTGAGCACTAAGGGTAGGAAAAAGCAGAAAATGGCTTTTTACTGTAAAGTTTAAATCCAAAAGTAGTCCCATGACCAATCATGGATTTGCTATTTTTTAGAAAATGATTTTTAAAGAATTTTCCTATATATATCTAAAAAACTTTGGTCGGCCATTTTGGCCACGCCCTACCCCTGGGGGTCATGATTTGAACAAACTTGAATCTACACTACTTGAGCATGCTTCCATATAAATATGATGAATTATGGCTTTGTCATTCTTGAGAGGAAGATGTTTAAACAATTTTCCTATATATTTCTATGTAAAACTTTGGGTGGCCATTTTGGCCCCGCCCTACCCCCGGGGGTCATGATTTGAACAAACTTGAATTTACAATACCTGAGCATGCTTCCATATAAATATGATGAATTATTGCTTTGTCATTCTTGGGAAGAAGATTTTTAAAGAATTTTCCTATATATTTCTATGTAAAACTTTGGTCGGCCATTTTGGCCCCGCCCTACCCCGGGGGTCATGATTTGAACAAACTTGAATCTACACTACCTGAACATGCTTCCATATAAATATGATGAATTATGGCTTTGTCATTCTTGGGAAGAAGATTTTTAAAGAATTTTCCTATATATTTCTATGTAAAAGTTTGGTCGGCCATTTTGGCCCCACCCTACCCCAGGGGGTCATGATTTGAACAAACTTTAATCTACACTACCTGAGCATGCTTCCAAATAAATATGATAAATTATGGCCTTGTCTTTCTTGAGAAGAAGATTCTTAATGAATTTTCCTATATATTTCTATGTAAAACTTTGGTTGGCCATTTTGGCCCTGCCCTACCCCGGGGGGGGTTATGATTTGAACAAACTTGAATTTACACTACCAGAGCATGCTTCCATATAAATATGATGAATTATGGCTTTGTCATTCTTGAGAAGAAGATTTTTAAAGAATTTTCCTATGTATTTCTATGTAAAACTTTGGTCGGCCATTTTGGCCCCACCCTACCCCAGGGGGTCATGATTTGAACAAACTTGAATCTACACTACCTGAACATGCTTCCATATAAATATGATGAATAATGGCTTTGTCATTCTTGAGAAGAATATTCTTAAAGAATTTTCCTATATATTTCTATGTAAAACTTTGGTCGGCCATTTTGGCCCCGCCCAACCCCGGGGGATCATGATTTGAACAAACTTGAATCTACACTACCTGAGGATGTTTCCCCATAAGTTTCATCTTTCCTGGCACAGTGGTTCTTGAGAAGAAGAATTTTAAAATATGCCACCAAATTTTCATTAATTCCCAATTATCTCCCCTTGAATGAGGGCGTGGCCCTTCATTTGAACAAACTTGAATCCCCTTCACCCAAGGATACTTTGTGGCAAGTTTGGTTGAAATTGGCCCAGCGGTTCTTGAGAAGAAGTCGAAAATGTGAAAAGTTTACGACGACGACGACACCGACGACAACAACGACGACAAGGACTACAACGACGACAGACAACGGACAAATTTTGATGAAAAAAGCTCACTTGAGCCTTCGGCTCTGGTGAGCTAAAAACGTTGGTGCAAAAAAGGTCTTATCACATGAATACACATGTGATATATACAAGTCCTAGCAGCAATCGCTGAAAAGTTATGGTCAAAGTTAAAGTTTTTTTTTTAAGTATTAGTAGGACAAACTCAGAAGTCAAGGTAAAACGACCAACAATTTTTGTACCCAAGGAAAGATCTGATTACCAGCAATATATACGCAAGTGAAATATAAAATCCCTAGCTCCAACCATTTAAAATATGGTCAAGGTTTACAATTGATATGTTTTGCAAAAATTTGGTTTAACTCCAAGGTCGTAAAATTGTCAATTAAGAGCTAATTCTTGGACCAAAAAGGTTAACATTAAACTAACAGCAAACAAGAAGTCGGCAAGTATGCTCCTTTGAGCTGTGAATGAGAGAACATTTTACCAGTTCTGAATACTTAGTACAAGGTTTTTTGCTTTGACGATGTTTCCTGTGACTGTTTTATTTTCCGTTTGTTTTTATGAATCATTAATTGCTAGAATTTAGGCCAATTAATATGTAACCTTACAACTTTTTTCAACTTGTATTGAATTTCATATGTCCCTAAACGCTTAGTTAAGGCTTCATATGACAGAAATGCACAGCACACATCAATTTTTTGAACTTTAAAAGGAAACATTTCAGAGTTTAAGAGGTCCTCCTTCTTGATGAGTGTTTTCTTTAGTACAAACACGTGCTATTTTTAAAGGACATTATTTATTTTAACTGTTTCTGCGAAATCTGCAACCATTAAAATTAGAATTCCACGATAAGATATTTAGGTTACGAAATGGAATGTCAAAGAAGGAAACGGAAGAGTGTATTTCATGAAATGACAGTTTAAAAAGGAATACACATCCATTGAGGAAACAAATTACACAATTTTTACAATGAGATAGGAAATATATACAGTACTGTTTTTCAAAAATAAATCTCATTTTTTAGCTGTCAATATGTAATTATGAAATTATAATCCAAAACCAACAAAAGTAATATATCAGAGTATTTTCCTAGTTATTGTGTAAATCCAGCACCAAATTTTACAGTGATATTTGAGGATTACCCCTTAAACCCTTGATAACAAACTTATAAAAGGAAAACTTACGTAATTTGTTTTCGACCTCCCCGTCCAAAAGGAATGTGAACTCCTCGTTCCAGACCGGGTTGACCTCATTATCCTTGGTCGTTGTTCGTCGGCGACCTTCGGGGGCAGTTCTAATCCGTAAAATCAAGTAGGGATCTGGGGTATCCACTGTTAATGTAAAATAATGAAAAAAAATCATTTTGATTTGTGCCTGTGTGTTTTTTCCCTCCATTTTTTATTTCCCGTAATCGAAGTTATATATTAGTTTTTGCCCTGTCCGTCCGTCTGTCTGTCTGTTTGTTTGTCCACAAAAACTTTAACCTTGTCTACAATTTTTCAGTGGGTGAGACTATGGCTTTCATATTTCACAGGTGTATTCCCTGTGACAAGACCTTTCCTTTGGTATCACCAAATTTGATCTCGTAACCTTGACCTTAGAGTTTGACCCATTTTAAAAAAAACTTTGAATTTGGCTATAAATTTTGAACAGGTAGAACTAGTGCTTTTATACTTCACATGTGTATCCCCTGTGACAACAACTTTCTTTGGATACCAACAATTTTGAACTTTTTGACCTTGACCTTGGAATTTAATTGAGAAACTTTAACTTTCAACGCCATAAGCTGGCATCGGTGTTTCATAAACACATCTTGTTCCATATATTTTCTCTTTGCTATGCCCGATTCTGAGTAGATGTATGCAAATAATAATGAATTTTGACACCGCTACAAATTTTAAACTTAATATTTACAAGTCTCTATGTATTTGAAGTACATACTTCAAAATTTAAACGTTTTCCCTGTTCAGCAACAGACTCATGTTACGCAGACGTTTATTTTATTTACATGATTTATATTTCATCTTGTATGCATATAAGTTCTGCGCCAAACAATGATCTTTGTATGCTTTGAAAGGAATATTTTTATTTCATGATAAAAACGAGTTTTTGTTGAATTAACTAACAATCAAGAAATCACTAAGATGCATTTTAATCCCAAAACTTTGCTATATGTATGCCTCTTTTCACAAATAAAATGTGTCAGAAGTACTTGTAATTCATATTTCAATTCTTATTTAATAATCCAAGAAATTAGATTTTGGAAACGTCTGCAAGCAAATTACTTTTTGTGTACTTGGTTATATTAAAGACGAGTTCTGCTGGTTATGCAAAGGTGTCGGCCATTTTTATCAAACTCCTCTTCATGGTTTTTTTATCCATCAAAAGAGACACCTTTTTGCCCACTAGCTACATGTTACCCCTTTTATCTTTTTGCATTCTGATTTTTGAAGTTCTGAGAGTCTCCTTGAAATATTAAGAAAAATTTCATTCGAGTTTCTAAAGAAATAAATTTACAATTCACTGTTGATAAAAATCCAATGAAGTCTGGATTTTGGACCGTGCATTTTCTATGCCTTTTATCACTAAAGTATGCTTACTGACTCATCATAGTTTCTACTACATGTGTACGTGTTTTGTTTCAAATAAGTCATCGAATAAAGTGCCAAATTTGAAAATTTGAAAAGTTTAAAATGAGTTATCCCAGCATACATCTTAAAGGACCAGGGTTAAAAGGGCCTGTGTTGGAGTTGCCGGGTGTTTTTGGAAAATATTAGCTCCAGTACTATTGTCGTGTCTCTCATTCTCAATATAAACTACTTTAAAAAATAAACATCTTTATGAGCGGGTTATGTAGCCTAAACACATGTAATATATTATTATACAGAAATTCAATAATTACACGTATTGTGTACAATAGCTGCAACACTTAAGCTCCCTGGTCGAGATAATTCGGACAAATAATCCAGAGAGTTGCAGCTTACATGTACAATTGATTGAGCCGTTTCTGTCAAAGGGAAACATCGAACTAAATATCAAAGAATCTTATTTTACATAATCCTCTCAAATTTGGATCATAAGACATTAGATAAACAACAGTTTAGTGTCCTTTAAAGTAATGCCCCCGATTTACAAATATTTCCATTTCGACAGCATTTGTTTGAATAATAATAGTAATCTTTACCTGCAGAAACGCCCAAGATCTTTATTTACAAGTTTTTTTTTTAATTCTCTGCTTCACAATTTGTTCAAACCTCTTTTCTCAGTGTGTTTGCAATCCATAGAAAGTATAATTTCCATTATAATGTATAGTGACCCAGTATGGAATATTTTTAAAGCTGAAAAATCCTTAACAAACATTTTTTTATTTAGTTCAAGTACTGCTTCGATGGACGAAATGCAAATACTCAATCGCATCTTCTCAGACCTGTCGGCAAGCTCAAGGCAAAAAAAACAGAAAGGCCCGAGAAGTTACGATTGTGCAAATACTGTACCGTAATCCATCCATCCTTTTGTGATGTTTCTGCCGCGGACAACCTTTACATTCAAAATCTGACAGGATCTGTGTTCCACCTGAAATGCAAACAAATTCAATTTTTTATTTGAACCAGGAACTTTTTTTTTCTTCTCTTATTCCATTTAGCTGGAGAAAAGAAAACCCCACTAACATGTCTACATTTAAATTACATGTATATGTAACGTTCAATCGTTAAAACGATATTCTGCTAAGACAATTATTAATGCAGTTGTCATGTTGTAAATTTTGTATTTACTGCAACCCGGTAAATTCAAAATTTACAACATGACACAATCAGCTACTATTGAATTTGTCTAAAATCATGGGCAATAATATTAAAGTAAAAGATTTTTTAAGTCCAATTAGTTGTTGGGTTTAGCTGTCGTCAAAACTTCGTCAGACACTTTCCATTTCCGTTCTAGAAGTGTTTTAAGCAGTACAGTGTCATGTAGAAAAAATTGTTATTGATAAGGGTATTTCATTTAATATGCTAATATAAGGAATGCCTTATTTTACACGGACATTCTCGTAGATTGAAAGGAAGTCCCATATATTTTCAACTCCATAAGGACATATTGTATTATTGTATCATAGGTCAATCAGCCTCAGTAAGAAAGATTTTGGAAATATAATGAAACGAAAAAGTCTATTTCTCTATCTCCAAAGTTTCTATCCCCAAAAGTTTTAAAAATAATGATATTTTGAAAAGAAATCTTTTGCAGAACATCAAAGAAATTAATATCGACCATAAACCTTTACCGTATCATTTTCTTCTTCGTTACAAACGAATGATAATGGTAGCAGGGCTATGGTACATCTATATAAGGTATGGTATTTGTTTCAGTAATGGCTAACATTACTAATGGATCGTGACTCGACCCACTTCCACAATTAAAATAAATTCTACCATCAAGTGGCTATTTATCAGTAGAAGGTTTTAAGGTGCTTACTAATCAAGGGTGGGTGCGAGTTTGATCTTCACTGTCACATTTTATCACGAGTTGACATCGATAGATGTTATGTACAACTCAGCACCCCACAGGATAAAATACTTTTTAATCAAGGGCCATAAATAGCTTTAGGCTTTATGATTTTGAACGAGCTTTCCGTAAGGTCATCTGAGGACAATTTTATAACTTGGTCACAATAAAATGCTTAAGCAGCAAGGCGATCTCAATGCCATTTTTCTCTGAAAAGACATACATGTGTTCCTCAAGTTCAACAGCTATACATCTGTGGCATTCAAGTGGCTAAATTATGCATGCCAATTGTTTATTTCATCATGTATTTTTCAATTGTTCCAAACATCCGTATTCGTGATATTTCATTTCCTTTATTTATTACTGCCCACAAATACTATTATTTATCATTAACTTTCATTTTTTAAAGAGATACTGAAACGACTTTAACAAGATATTTAAACGACCATATAACGACAAAAATTACGGTCTATTTAGTCATCTTATCTATCTGCTGTGTACACAACATTTCTGTCGTCTTGTTTACTCTATAAACGTCAAAAATTCTTTTCACAAGCTAAATAGAATCGAAATATGCATAGGTACATCAAATTTTTACATTTAAATGACCTATTGAAGTATAATTTTATACCAAACATACGAGTCAGTAATTCTGTTTAATTAAACCCAGAAAAAAATCACGATGTTTTATGGAAATTGCATTTGACTACATTTAAGTAGAAGCTTTAGGCAGACCGTCCTTGAATTTACGATTGTACCTGCTAGGTATAATGTGTACATCGTCATGCAAACATGAAAAGAGAGATAATTTTTTTTAAAGACTTACCTCAAAGACTTGATAGGGATCAAACCTAGCAAATAAAAATGGAAGATACCTTATCAGTCAGTTATACAATGTAGTCAAACAAAATTGGTTAACTTTATTACCCCTTTGTCTCTTTACAACTATAAATACATCTATGACAAGGCTTAAATATTCATAATATAAATTCAGAAGCTTATATTCTTCAGCACTGTTTCTATAGAGCTGTTCTAAATTGAATATTTTACAATTACCCTTTGCTCGAACTCATTTTTGTCTTCCTGTTCAGAGATCAGTAACTTAAAGCGTTGATTGCTTATAATGACCCCTCTCTCATCAGGCAATCAGACGACACCGTTTTAGAACTTTTTGACGGAAGTGTGGAGCACATTCCAAAGAAATACACGTTAAAATCCAATCCTGCTGATCTCACAGAGGTTTGACATGACAATCTGGAACGAATCTTGAGCTGTTGAAATTACATAACGAAAACCATATAATAAACCACTAGAAAACTGTTAACGATCCACTCCGTGGCTTGTTCTACATATATCAAGTAGTTTATCCGGTATGTACATATAAAGTGACGTCATAGACCGGAACCGAATTTTTTTTCAAAAATTTAGGTTTAAATCTATTTTTATCAGAAAGGAGACACGGTCCTGAAATGTGTCAACAACCAGGTAAACGAAAGATTAGACTACTCTGGCAGCGTTGGAAGATGTTTATGTAAAAGTTTACTTTGCGGTAATCTGTTTATCGGACGAACTTTAAAGCTGCAGGGTAGAGACATATAATGAACGGCTATTAACATATTCTTAGTACCCATTCTGAACAACTGAAAGTATCAATGCTTATTTTGATGTGACAATATGATACGAACTATGGAAACAATACACCTTTGTTGATTTAATAGCAATGTTTGTTTTCGCGTGACCTCTCTTAGAGAATTTTTCCCTCTGATGTGGATTCGAGCATTGCTGATGGAAGGATGAACTTTTAGACCTGTCCTCTACATTTATATAGTATATAATGTTTATGGCCGTTGAGAACCAAAGGATCTTTTTTCTTGCCAGCGCTTTCTAAGTTTAGAAACTATAGCTCTTGAAATGCTATTTTTTCTAAAATCAGTCATAACTCTACTCCACGGAATTGGTTCGACTGGTGAAGTTGCCAAGCTGTTTGTATACAAATCAAATTACGTCATAGACCGGAACCGAAATTGAGGTTGAAATATTTCCTAAATATTTCCTTTTTTTCAGAAAAGAGACATAGTCAATCAGAGTGAACGTGTAGACACGGTAGACCTGTCCTCTACATTAATGTAAATCAGCAAAAATGGCCATTGAAGATTAAGGGATCTTGTTCGTGCCAGCGCCTTTCACGTTACTCCTAGGTATTGGTTGGAACTGCCGAGGTTTACAAGCTTCATGCTATCTATTACTGAATCATGGATTTGAACCCAAAAAAAATCAGAATCACAGCAATTTAGCCAAGAAGTAAAAGCACAAATCATATTCTTACATGTCCTTAATAAACGCTAATAAACGCTATGTTTTGCATCATATTTATTCACAGGAACTGTTCTATAAATTGATTGAGTAACTTGACATTGGATAGCACGGAACTTCCGAGGCTTAAATAAAGTGTTATATCATTATGTATATCTTCCTATATAGGTATTTACAACAAATAAAAAGTCCAACAAAGTAAATGTTTTTGGCATCGGTCTAACAATTTCATTATTGGCTGATCTGTCAGTCTTACATAAGAATTGTTAGACCGCAACGTCACTAAGTTACGTCACAAGTACTTAGTCGCCGAATATCGGCGGTGTGGCGATATAGCCGAAGTTTCAAGAGTTTGAAAGATGGCGTCCATGGCATACTCTACTAACTAGACAGTGACTCCTTATATTTCTATTTCAGTGTAAAATAAATTGTAGAATTAGAAATTTGAAAAATGTAGACTTAATAAAATGTAGATTTAAATTATAGTAGGCCTCCCATTTCAATTTTAGTAGTCCCCGCCTCCTGACGTCAAACACAAATGCAGCCGCACGAAAGCGTCAGACACAAAGACAGACGCACGAGATTTACTTGCAGGCCTCCTTAGCTTCTGACGTATCGCTTGGTGAAATTTACATTCCGGTAGAATGATCAAGAAATCAACTCGACTAACTTTCAAAGATTTATCACAGGGAAAACAAATAGAAATGGAAATATTTACATGTATTTATATAAAAAATGACTATGTGAAAGGACAAGGGGTTCAAGAGTGAAATGAAAAGATGCACAAACTGGCATACCTTACATTTACATATTGCTATCTGTAATCTGAAAAGATAACGTTAATTTTGAAGGCACATATTTCCCTAAAGAAAGGTATATACACAGTAATCCATTATATCTAAAACTTATGTCAGACTTATTTCAAGAAAAGAATGAAGACACTCAAAATTAAATTTTATTAATTTGCCAGTCGCGAAGGTTTTAGTAAGATTATTGAAACTATTCTTGGGTCAGAGACATAATCGGATGAAAGTGATTATTATACACCTTGTAAAAAAAAACACCAAGGCGTGTAACATCAATTTACTAGGTAATTTAAAAAATATATCCATCTGCTTATACTAGTATATTGTAATGACAATTTTTTCTCAATCAAGTGTTAATATTAAATTATTTTTTCCCATGACCTCCTTTAAATTTAACTATGTTTTCTTCCTTGATTCAATGATATTAAAAATCATCTGGAAAGGGTTTTTTTCTCGCTTACAAAATCTCAGAGATAAATATGTTAGTGAAAACAAATCTACCATCTAATTTCGCTATAATAGGTAACAACTCACTGAATTTTATTTCTTGACCACTAGGCCCCTAGTCAAAATGTACGATCCTCGAGGTTGCTACTCATATTAACTAAATACGATCTGTAAAAAAAATTCTCCATTAAAAGGAAGCTCTAAACACTAACAAAGGGTGGTTTTTCGACTTGGAGAAAAATATATCATATAAAGGTGTGCATATTGAGAATATTTGATTCATTTTCAACATAGGTTAGCTGACTAATCTCTTCATGAAAAATGTTCAAGACAATGGATAATGTGTGAACAAAAACACTGTTGTTTACTTGGGAAGATAAATGACAATAATGAATTCAATTACTTATTCTTGGTATAATATAATGTAAAGCATACTTTAGTCTATTACAAATAGTGTAATTACATGTAACTGTAAATAACCATTTTTCTATATTGCTTCTAAGGGCAGATCACTCTAACAGCATTAAACTACCCTACAATTAGAATCTTGAGTGTCCAGTCCAAGGGGCATAACTCTGTCCCAAACAGCTCAATCGTACTGTCTCACACGGTTTGGGTACGTTTTAGATAACTGAGCCCGATCCGTATTTTGAGACAATTCTTTTTGTCAATTAGACTATCCTTGCAATCAGGTTTGTCCTTGATCTAGAAATAGAGGCGAAGAGTGGGAAATATAAATGTTATGTCTTTATTAGTGCAATCATAGAATGGATCTTTAGGCTGTTTAAAGTTAATTCTACGTTTAACGTCACATCTAAAGTTCAAAACCTACGAGGGAGGGAGGAAAAAAATAAACAAACAAAATTTTCAAACAATTGTGAATTTATTCAAATTAACCTATTCAGTACATTAAAAACATTACAATTAAGTAATATGAGCATTTAATTGATATGACACCAAAGATTAATTTTCCTAGCAGAGTTTTTCCTTAGTATGTAAATCAGTTTGAGTCCTATTGTTAGCAAAAAATGTACTCTATGACTGAATGTGCAGGAAAGTGGCTTTTAACTAGGCCTCAGTTGTCCTTTGGATTTATATTGCCACACGTCCATGGCACCCTGGAGGCAAATGCTTCTTCTTGTGGGAATAGTTGCTCAATATCTACAATTAAAATTATTGATGACAATATCTAAAAAACTGTTCATGTTGAAATATCCTCAAATTGAATTATGTATTTTTTCTTATTACTAGATCTACTAGCATTAAGTTTGAAAGTGTGAATACTAATATATATTTGGACCATACTGATAGCTGTTAGATTATCTTTAATACCTTGAATTCCACACAAAAGACGGGATTCTTCACGTCTTGGAATACCCCAAACCACTTTCCTTACTCTACTTCACTTGAAAGGCCCTATCTTCGGTAAGCTTCTCCCTGCTCAAATGGTTAAGACAAGTATTATCAAAAATGTAGCTATTTGTACTGGTACATGAATTATGAAGAAATCAATTATCTTACTCATTACTGTTCCTTTCGATTTTTACAGAAATATTTTTTTAATATTAAATAAAATTAAATAAGATTTAAATGATGCTTTTTATTGTATATAAATCTTGGTTTTTGACACACTTTCCACTCAGTAAAAAAGTTTTTCGATTCTCTCCAATATACAATGAAAAGTTCAGCCAACAGAATCACCAACTGAGAGTCTGTCAGTCTGTACATGTGATTCGAAGACTGACAAAAATTCAAAAAACTATACTTTGTCATTAACTTCAATCATAAAATCATCTATTGTTTACTTACATTTATGGTTCGAAGCTCTTTAATTCACTAGTTTTCTTTAATAAGACACCAACTGCCTTTACAGCTGCTATCAAAGCACATTGTCATTCTGTCACTACGGGAAGCAGAATTTAGTCGCTAATTGTAGAACCAAACCGGAACGGACATACGGAATTCTGAATTGTTTGTTTTTTTCAAAGACGAATTTCTCATAAACCTACGCGCGCGGGTGACGTTAAACATAGTTTTAATTTTAGACAGCCTTAAATTAAAGTAACACGGTCAAGTTGAAATAAATATATACATAAAAACATTAATGATGACCGGATGTGACAGAAAAAACAGCAACTTTCACAATAAAACAGTGTACAAATTATTTGACATTATAGACATAAAAAAAAATGAAATATTAATTAATTCAGCTAGGAATAGAGAGATAATTATTTACATATCGCTAACAAATTTTGAACTCTTACAAAGTTTTAAGAATAGAATTTTTGCTCGTCATTATGCACTTCTGAAAACGATTTACATATTTAAGAATTACAAAAATTCTTTCTCCCTACATAGAAGAGTTGTACCTGTTGATATGTCTTATTTCCCTTTAGCTAACTATATTTAAAATTGTCAAAATAATTAAACAAGATATAAATGCAATAAGCGTATTTACAAAACCCATAATTAATTTTTTTTCAGTGTACTAATTCAAATCTTAATTAATTCCAATATACATTAAATTCATATAAAAGAAAAATGAAAGTAAATAATTAAAATACAAGTACATACCTAGAAATAGAAAGAGTGGGAAATATAAATGTTATGTCTTTATTAGCGCAATCATAGAATGGATGCGCATTTCCCAACTCTTGCCCAATTTAAAGAAATAGGTTTTGAAAACGAACCAATCAAAAATTAAACTCAAGATTTTAAGATAACAATTAGTGAAAAGGCAATTAAGGAGTAATGATAATTAAATGACAGTTATAAACAATTTGAAGCGAAAACAACTCAACATGAGA